CATTATCTATACCACTTATTCCTGAACAGTGTTGTGAGGGCCTGGAGCCAATCCCATCTGACACCGGGCGAGAGGTGGGGTCCACCCTGGACAGGCCACCAGTGTGTCACAGGGTTGACACATAGACCAACAACCACACACCTTCACTCTTATGGGCAATTTAGAGTCTCCAGTCAACCTAAGCTGCATGTCTTTGGACTGTGGGAGGAAGCCGGAGTACCCGGAGAGAACCCACACAGGTACAGGGAGAACATGGAGACTCCACACAGAAAGGCCCCCAGTTGGCCTGGGCTTGAACCTGGAATCTTATTGAGGTGATAGCATTAACCATCATTCCAATAAGCAGATCTTTATTTCTAATTTCTGTTCATTTCTATAAATTTCATTTCTAGAATTTCATTTAAGAAATCACTTAGGAAGATGTTGGTGAATCTGGCCCAGGGTTATCATGTTATCATTTCAAAAATTTCAGTTGTCCAAATAATTATTTTATACAAACTGCAAAGAAAAAACTAATAACGAGGTATGAGTTTTTCTTTTGCACATATGAAGAGTTTGTTTTCATGTACTATGTCTCTGTGGAATACAGATTAATACTTGACAAAAACTGGATTATTTTATATGCATTTTTGCATACATTTGTAGGATATGAGGAATTTATTCAGCTGTTAAACAGGTGACTGACAGTTTTCCAATTTTCTGAAACCTTCTAACGTGAACCCATCTTCACTTCAAATTAAACTTTTGTATTCACAAGGATCCACATAATGTGCATTTCATCAGCCCTTCATCCTCAAACTACAACTTACAAATGTCGGGCTTCTTAATGGGCACTTTCTAAACTAAAATGAGAGAAACAAGCGCTATGGGTTTTGCAGATGTAAAATGAAATGTGATTCTGCAACAGCATGGTGTTTCTAATCTAATGTAATTTTAAATTAGATGATCTAATCTACAGTTTTAAATTTTAATAAGGTTCAGCACCTCTGCAACACGGCATATCGTGTCATTATCTAAGCCACCACTAAGAGTTTGCAAATGAGTCAGAGTTCCAGATAAACAGTCTCATATGATCACAGTTTTCAAGGGGCTGAAATGTCTTACCAAGGTCTTGAACTCGGAGAACAACTGGAGCTGTAGATTAAGACAAATCAGAGCGTCTTTGCTCCACAAACCAACAACAACCAACAACCAGTTTGCAAAGGAGTCCATAGTTTAGAGGTCACCTCAATCATTCTTCAATGGCTGCTTTCCAGAATAAAACTTTGGTATCTCTGTAAAATATTACTCATATCTGCTCATAGTCAACACAAACATAATACAAAAGAAGTTGAAATTAGACAACCTTTTTGTTGTTCTTTATGTTCAGTTAAGTTACTACACACTCGAACTCGCACTGCACAACCATGATGAGAAAGACATATCTTTCATCTCTTGTCAGTCTCTCTTACAGAAATGTACCAACTGACCTTGGTAGCATGTGCAGTGCTGTTCTGCTCTTCCACCTTGATAAATGGAGGGAAAGTCTTGGTGTTCCCTGTGGATGGAAGCCACTGGATCAATATGAAAGTCATCATCGAGGAGCTCCACTCCAGAGGCCATGAAATCACAGTGTTGCGGCCATCAGACACCTGGTACATCAAGCCAGAGTCCCCTCACTACAAGTCCATCACGATAAATTCTTCTTCTGGTTTTGATGAGGAAGGCTTAGGGTTATTTGTAACCAACAGTCTGAAGATACAGCGGGAAGGCGCTTCACTTTGGACTCGTTTATCTATGGAGTATGAACTGTTGTCCCTATTCAATCAGTTGCATAAGCTGGTGGTTCAGATGATGGGGGAGATATTTGAGAACACTGAACTGATGCAGAACCTCCATGATGCAAAGTATGATGTGGTTCTGACAGACCCTGTGATGGGTGGAGGGGTGCTTCTGGGTCACCGTTTGGGTCTTCCACTTGTCTTCAATGTGAGGTGGACTCTTCAGGGTGATGCCCATCAGGCAATTGCACCTTCCCCACTCTCCCATGTCCCAGTGACATTTACAAAGCTGACTGACAAGATGACATTTACCCAGCGGGTCAAGAACTTTCTTTGTTATTTGTTCTTATGTTTTCAGATTTGGTACATGGCAGATGTAAATTATAAACCTTTTGTCCATCACTACTTTGGCAGTGACGTACATTACATGGAGCTCTTTCAGGCAGCAGACATCTGGCTAATAAGGAACGATTTTACCTTTGAATTCCCACGACCCACAATGCCAAACATCGTCTACATGTCAGGATTTCAGTGCAAACCCTCCAAGCCCCTGTCCAAAGAACTAGAGGATTTTGTCCAGAGCTCTGGGGAACATGGCGTCATTGTTATGACACTAGGAACCCTGGTGGAAAAACTTCCTGAAGACGTCACTGAGGACATCGCTGGTGCTTTTGCCCAGCTTCCTCAGAAAGTGATCTGGAGACATGCAGGCAAAAAACCATCCACCCTTGGCAACAACACCTTACTCTTGGACTGGCTACCACAAAACGACCTCCTGGGGGACCCCAAGACCAGAGTGTTTGTGGCCCATGGAGGCACCAATGGAATACAGGAGGCCATCTACCACGGCATCCCGATGGTAGGCCTGCCCCTCATGTTTGACCAGCCATACAACTTCTTCAGAATGGAAGTAAGAGGTGTGGCCAAAGTCCTGGACATTGCGACCGTAAACAAAGACAACTTCCTGGAGGCACTGAAGGAGGTACTCTATGAACCGAGCTACAGGGAGAAGATGAAGACGCTGTCCAACCTGCATAGAGATCAGCCCATGAAACCACTGGACCGCGCCATTTTCTGGATCGAGTTTGTCATGAGGCACAAAGGAGCACCACACCTAAGAACGGAGTCTTACAAGATGTCTGCGTTCCAGTACCACTCCATTGATGTGATGGTCTTTCTGCTGGCAGTCATTGTGCTTCTGTTTATGGTTTTCATTTTTGCAGTAAAGCTTTTATGGCAGAGGATGTTTTCAAGCAGAAAAGTCAAAAAGCAATGATCAATGATGATGTAAGAGAACAGAATACAAACAGTTGCATGCCAGAGTACGTGTAGAGCAAACCACACAGTTTGAACACCTCTGAAATAGGTCAGGATTCAGTGCATTTTTCAGATTTTGGACGTTTTCTCTGTATAAACAACTGCATTTTTAAGTAAATGAAATCACTTTGATAAGAACTAGAATGTGTATCCTGTGAATGTCTATTAGTGAAACTGGGCAATAATTTAATATTCCTGATTGTTGTTGACTTTTAGTGATGATGTTATTGTTCCACACATTTCTGTTGTAATGACGGTTTTAAGCAATTTACAAAGAAAAATGGAAAAGTTTTTCACTTTGCACATATGAAGAGTTTGGCCTCATATAGCATCACAGAGGAACACAAATTGAAATTGTTTTATGTCTTTTTCTATATTTGATTTTGAGGGGGTGTGTGCTCTCTGGCAGGTTCGTTTGTATTTTGTATTTTTCTTACTTCAAGTTTGTCTCATTTTTAAGAGGTAATTGAGACAAACATTTCATCAGTTACCCAACCAGTTACTGATGTCGTCAGCCTTGTGCAGCTCTATATCAAACCTTTTATATTTTTTATAATGTTTACTCTCAAAGTTGTGCTTGCAGCATTATTAATGTTTTAAACAGTGTACCAGGCAACCGTGCAGGGTTACTGTGAGTTTACTGGAAGGACACTGGTACAAGGGCAGGAACATTTTGTGTAAATGCTTAGTAAAGGCCATTGTCTCTGTTACATAAGGGACAAAGCACTTGAATGGTGACATATCAAATTACTGTTCTGTTCTTTGGAGCACGTGATTTTAGCTTATTGGTATCGTCTTACACCTGAACTAATTAGTATTCTGAGTTTCGGGTTATTGTAATTAGATCGTACTTGCAGGACAAATTTTCTTTCACATTCACAGTTTGTTTGCTTACTGTTGTTCAGCTTTGAACATGTTATTGTGTTGAAAAAACATGTGCTATAATTTCTCCCACTTTTTAAAGATCTTCTTTTGGCATTTTGCCTGCATGTGAGACTTGGGAGTGCACAGAGAGGGAAAGCAGGGGAAGGAATTCCTAGGGATCCTTAACCAGAATCAAACCATAGATTTCATCTGGTTCATGTGGAAATCATAACCATTAGGCTACCTGGGCACTCCCTATGTAGTTGTTCAAAGTTAAACCTGCACCTTAATTGTGCAAAGATGTCCTCATCATGCTATGGGTTGTGGCTGCTGGAGGAGTCTCGGAACTCACTAATTAGTCTGAATTAATTAGCCTGAAGAGTTTTGACAAAGATGGTCACAACATTTAATTAAGTACGTTAATTTCAATCGATGGCATCAGTGTCACAAGTCATTCACCTGCAATCTTGTCATAGAGGCATAGAAACGAATCAAACTGTCAGCAAATATAACACTTACCTTTACTGGGCATTTATTTATTATAATAGCAATTACTAACAGCAACTAATGAAAGACATATATAAATATATATCAGCTATAATTGAGCAACTATAATAAACTATGTAATGAAGTAATGTGTGTGTGTGTGTGTGTGAGCACATTAAATCTATGTTTTATCTGTTGACATTTTGTGCACAGCAGCATGTACACGTCACTTGACGCATGCCGCAGTGAGTATATCTGTGATGAGCTAAATTTGCCAACAGGAGCCACATCACTGAATCAGTGAGACCCTGTTTAAACAAGTATCAGCTGTGTGTCCCCGTGTGCAGGCAGAGAACAGTGAACAAATCTGACATCACTGATTCAGTTTAAGAGCAATACACGTTCACTAGTGTACAGCTAAGTGTGCATTGAGTGTTTTTTTTTTTTCAGATGGTGCAGCGAAGGTGAACTGTATCCTGTTATCTCTGGGAAATTCACCCAAACTGTCTAATGATTTAATGATTTTATAGGCACACATACAGGAAACGGGAAATAGTTTAGTACTGAACTCACTGTTGCTGCTGTACGGAGTAGAGAGAGGGGAGCCGCCCGCAGTCAGATCGTCCCACCCCCTGTTAACATCTGCCTCCCAGGAGTGGAGAGAGGAAGGGCTGCATGGCGACACACACACAGAGAATGACGGCAGATGGTTATCAGACTACAGGAGACAACGATGTCTACTCTCTCAGACTAATAAACTAATATAAAGAGGAAGTTTTGTCTATTATGTTGCTGCCAAATGCACTGTTGTCACAAAACAGCTGCACTTGGCAAAAATACAACTTTTCATTAATCACAAAAAGACCTCCAACAGCCTTCTGCCATAACTCAGACACATGCATTGGATCTCTCCTGACCCCATACTGTGCTCCTGAGAAACTGCCATAGTTTGTACTGTCATGGTGAAAAACCAGAAACAAATAGAACAATTAACAGAAAAGAATTAAACCAGCCCAGTGTCCTCAGTGAAGCCTCACCTCCTTGGACAGACCCCCTCCTCGCTGCTCACACCGCTGTTCTTCAGCCCTCGGCGGATGGACAGCTGGCTGGCGGCGGTGCAGAAGGTTGTCTCCAGGTAGCTGAGCGGCAGCGTCCTGTTCACTGGCTGGTGGATCTGAGCTGCGCTGTGTCGGGTCAGAGCCGCACTGCTGCCCACAAGGAAGTGAACGAGGGCCGGCAGGGAGTCGAAGGCCTCGTCTTCCAGGCTGTACTGGACCCGAGTGTAGGTCTCACTGGACTGAACCAACATCTCCTTAATGAGGAAGTGAAGCGTTTTCTGCTTCCAGCGGCTGGTGAGGACAAAGTCACCCTGACTGGACAGAGAGTCTCTGATGAGGAAGTCGCCGTGGTTCAGCACCAGGCTCTCTGACACCTGGGAACAGATTTTACTGCGTCAGAATTACTGTGACATTTTCATGTTAAAACAGACAGTAAACACACAACGACCAGTGATGGCTCTACTTTTCAGAGTATGACAACAACTTTCTAAAATTACTGTTAGTTTAAGTTGTGTTGTTGTAGTCATGGGTTATGTTTTATTAAGGTTAGTGTGAATCACTTTGGTTAAACTCCCCTCCCACTTAAAAATGTGTTTTGTGTGTTGTCATTTGACTGGAATGTTTGAGCTTCCCTGTGCAGAATGATGTATGATAGTTTGTTTTTCTCTCAGTTGAACACCTGGACGTACCTGCAGGATCTTGTTGTTCACATGAAACTGCAGTGAGGCAGGAAACCTCACATGTCCAGCCGTTAAGCTAACTGCAACTTTACGACCATTATTTCTACTAGTTCAGAGACAAATTATAATCCTAAACAGAGCCATTTTATATGTCTGCCAGGGATTTCTATGGTTACAGTTTTGGTTATGACTTTGCTTTCTATTCTGTAAAAACACTGCTTGAGTCCTCACAGCCTTCTTAGAAACATGACATTTATTTGCCCACAGGTGAGTCAAAACTGAGGACAGGCTGCCATAAATCTGAGTTCAGCTGCCTTTTACTGTGACTGAAACCATGCAGAAGCAGTTCTCAACATTAGCTTTACAGTTCAAAGCTTTTATATCTTTCCTGTCACAAAGGAGATGACTGAGATCTCTGTCGACTCTCTACCATGAGTGCTGAGCCATCAGACTGCTGGGTCACAGCAGATTAGGTGAGGATCTGGCTCTCTAACCTCTGAACACTTTCCTGTATCCGTACTTGTATGTTCATCTTAATGCTTTTTTGTTAAAGTCCATGTTTCTCAAACCTGAGATTCTCAAACAGGAAAACTGTCTGTCAGGCTTCACTAGATGGTTTTGCTTTCAAACTATCACCTGGTGTTTGAGCAGAGCGCCCTCTTGTGTTAGAACCGCTGACATTCAGCCCTGGGATTTTAGAGGGAACATGCTCTAAAGTTCGGTTCAGATGCCTTGTTATTTTACTGTGAATCAGATCGTGTCCTTTCTAAATAAGGCTAGCTCCTTATAGGCAGCTTTATTATGGGTCTGGTTAAAATATCTTCTTCTGTTGAGCAAAAAGCAAGATTCACATCCAGGTGGTAAATTAGCTAAATAGTTTATGTAATTTAACTTTAAATCTTGAAAATCCTGTCAGAGATGCTGAGTGGTTGTTGGGTGATGGTGGTGGTTAGCTAACGTTTACAACAGCCATGCAAAAAAAAGTGTGTTGTGTTGTGTGTAACTCTGTAACAACGTAGGAAAATAAATCTTATATCTACGAATAGTCTGTTTTGGAGACACGGAGCAGTTCCTCACAAGGTAAAACACTAAAGGTTAAAACCTAACATGTAGTGGTTCCGCTGTGAACGACAGCAGTTGTATGTGTGTACTGTATGTATGTGTTTGATGCAAACCTCCCAGGGGATGCGTCCATGGTACCAGGCGTGGCTCTTCAGGTTGGTGCTGCTCAGCTTCAGCTCTTCCTCCAGCTGCTTCCTCAGTTTCTCAGACGGTGGCTCCAACCAGAACCTCTCTTTGCAGAACTTAAAGGACATTACAGGTGTAAAGTCAGACACAAAATCCCAACAACACAAACAAAAGAAGTTTAGACCAAGGTTCAAATTCCAGCAAAGGCATCGTCACTCTCTGCTGCTTTTCTGCTGCTTCTT